TGAACCGCAGCACAGCACTTACGGTCTTCCTCTCCCGTGGTTTTTGCGTGCGAGCGTGCCCTTTACTACCCTGTAGAGCGGTCTTCACCTGAGAGTTTCACATTTAACCACCACAACCAGAAAACAAATTAGAGAAAGAGACAAAGATAAACTACTGACAACAACAGAGTTTTGTTCTATTAAAATTCAAAGAAAGAAAGCGACCAGAGAAGAGATGCATGCATGCATTAAATGTTTTCATTGGCCCTCAGTTTTTTGCTTCACTTTAAATCGGTCCTTTAATGACCTTCATGTTAAAACATAACTACAAGATCACCCAAAAATGAAAATTTGCTTAAAATGTACTCATCCTCAGGCCATCCAAGATGTAGATGAGTTTGTTTCTTCATCAGAACAGATTTGGAGAAATTTAGCATTGCATCACTTTAACTATAACATGTTGCTTCTGGTCTGTAATCCATAATGCTTCCTCCAGTGATAAAGTCCATCTCCTCAGTTGTCCTCTCACATCAAAATCCACCCACATGTGTGTTTAGGACTGTTTTTGCTCGTAAACAGTGCTTGATTTGTGCATATTTCTCTCCCGATTTAGACTAGATGACTTTATCACTGGAGGAAGCAATGTTATGGACTGGTATTTTAGCCAGAAGCTAAAGTTTAGAAATGTCTTGATGGTACAACCCCAATTCCAGAGAAGGTGGGACGTTTTGTAAAAATGCAATAAAATCAAGAATCTGTGATTTGCTCATTCTCTTTAACTTTTATTTAATTGACAAAAGTACAAAGAAAAGATTTCCAAAGTTTTCACTTACCAATGTAAATGTATTTTGTAAATCTGAACAAATTTTGATTTTGATGGCTGCAACACATTCCAAAAAAGTTGGGACAGAGGCAAAATAAGTGAAACGGTTATAGAATATCCACTTTAAACTGTTTTGAAACAGTTCACAGTAAGCAGGTGAATTGGTAATGGGTCAAGGTATCATGTTTGGGTATAAAAGGAGCATCTCAGTCTTTGCAAGCAAAGCTGGATCATGGCTCATCACTTTGTGCCAAATTTCATGAGAAGTGTCAAACAAATCAAAAATCACATTTCGCAATTTTGAATTTTGGTCTTTCGCCAACTACCACACGTAATATTGTGAAAAGATTCAGGGAATCCAGAGAAATCACAGTACATGTAGGGCAAGGCAGGAAACCTCAGTTGAATGTGCTTGACCTTTGAGCCCTCAGATGGCATTGCATAAGAAACCGTCATGCTGCGGTGTTAAATATAGTCACATGGGCTCAGGAGTACTTCAGAAAACTGCTGTCACTTAACACAGTCTGCTGCTGCATCAAAAAATGCAACTTGAAATTCTGTTACTCTAGGAGAAAGCTATACATCAACTCTATGCAGCGATGCTGCTGGGTTCTCTGGGCCAGAGCTCATCTCAGATAGTCAAAAAGA